CCATCCATCCATCCATCCATCCATCCATCCATCCATCCATCCATCCACATCCATCCATCATCTTTATTGCTTCTTCCTTTTCAGGTCACGGGGGTCACTGGTGTCCATGTCCAGCCATCACTGTGCGAGAGGTGGGGTGCACCCTGGACAGGTCGCAAGTCATCGCAAATTCATCATAGGGACACATGGAGACAAACAAGACAAACAACACCAGTTCTGAACACCAGTCAGAATTCAGAATTCCACTGCAGAAAAGTGAGATCCCAGCAGAATGCCAGAGCCAGTTTGACCATGGACACTTCTGTCCCTCTAACCACTGACAGGTGAATGTCACCTTCAAGTCACCGGAACATGTAGGGCGTTGACTGGTATCCTTAGCAGTCCCACTTTCCAGTAGGACAGAAATGTTAGAACGTTTCCTTTTATTCAATGGTGAATCATAGTTTTCCAAGATAAAGCCAGCCAGTTTACAATCATTTAGCTTTCTTTTATTAGATATTTTATTTGAAAACTCCATTAACGCATTCTTTTTGACATATACTAACCAGTTTAAATTTGCCTCAAAGCTGCGGTTATTTTCATGACCTCACATCTTTCCTTTCAAAATTTTAATGCCATTACTTCCCTGCTCATGATTTTTTGTTTTTCTTTCCAATATTTTTTATGTCATTATTCATATAATATCACTGCTTATTATTACTCCTATATTCAAAATAAACATCACCAAAAATCTTACAACTGAATGAATATGTTTCATTGAATCTGAGTGTTTTGATATAAAGTTGATTTAATCACGAGAAAAGAACTCAAGATTGATTATAAATTTATGAGATTGATAATTAATTCCAATATTTTGGACCTTATCCCTACAGTCTGATGCCGAGAGATGGCATTCATCCCTCTTTGGGTGGAGCCACACTTCTTTCTAGAAATTTGGCTGATTTTGTAAGACATCCAAATTATTGACAACCCAGGGTCTAGTCCAGGAAGCAGAGTTGTAGTCCTCCACACCTCTCTCCTCTGTTACCCACCCACACCCCCACTGAAACAGTGTCAACTCGCTCACAGCTCAAATTAAATAAACCAAAAATCAGCTCTAAAAATATAAATCATAAAAAAAATTAAAATAAACACAGTTAATTTATGTTGTATCCTTTATTTAACCAGGAAAAATAACTCATTGAGATTAAAAACCTCTTTTCCAAGAGTGACCTGGCCAAGACAGCAGCATAAAACATACAACAAATCCAAAATACTAAACCAAATACACAAAATACATATCCAGGAGAAATCACATAATTACACATTAGGGCAGTTACAGGAGCCAAGTGATCTGATCTCTCGTTCCTTTAGAATTGATTTAAACTGTACCAAAGTAACAAGAGATGATAACTTTAAATCCTTCTGCAGAATATTTCAAGTGGCAGGGGCGAAAGATTTAAAAGCCTTTTCACCCAGTTCAGTTCTGACCTTTGGTACCTGCATCAAAATGATGTCCTGGGAGCGCAGACTATAATGGTTAAAGTTCTAGATAAAAGTGAACATGAATGTGTAGGAAGATGCCCAAGCATCCATTCCTCCTAATTATTTAAAATTTCACGTTCCTAGGTCGAGGTGGAGGAGTATCTTAGATTTTTCAGTCAGGATTATTGATTAACACTAAACCAATTATTAGTTATAATTCTTTTGAGTTGCTGTCCCTTAATCTTTTGCATCCAAAATGGAAATCAGAAAAGCCATTTTTACTAGTTGTTATCGTTCACCAGGCCCTTATTCTCAGTTCTATTTCATATAGGCTTCACCCTTTAGTGCCCTGATACAACTGCTGTTGTGACTTGATGCTGTACAAATAAACTGAACTGAACTGAATTGCTGTCTCGGACTAGAGATATTGTTGTATGGTGGAAAGGGCACTTCAATTATCTCCTTAATTTGTCTGCCATGTCCACCTTTAAGGAGGTAGAGTAGATTGGGTGAGGAAGATTTTATTTTATGTGACTTACATCAACTAGTGATGTTTTTTAAATAATTCACAAAGGAATTTGGAACATCACAGCCTCCATGTCAGCTGTTACAGTGGGGAAAAAAATGTAAAGGAAAACTGCCTATTATGCCTAAAACCATACAATTGGCAAGATCCCCCAGCCCCAAAACTCCCCAGATAAACCACTCATAGCATCTGTGCTAAAAAAGGCTCAATCCACACCAAACCAGAAAGGTTCATTAAGAAATAAATGCAGATACAAAGAGACCAGGAGAGACAATGAGTCCAGAATGACTGTAAGAAAGGAATAGTGACATCTAAAGCTGGAAATAAAAGAACAACACAATAAGGCAAACTTGTGAAATATACTGCTTCATATATGGTGACATTCAGAATCAGCTGAATAAGCTTTGGAAATAAATTCTCACTATTGCTGAGATCAATGAGGCACTACTTGGTGGGCTCAAATAAAAGACAAATGAATGACAAATAATAAGCTCTACAGAGGGCAAAAGGGTGATTAGCTGGGTGAAAAAGACATTCTTCGCAAGCCCTGCAAAATAGTTCTAGCTTAAATCCCTTAAGCCTCAAAAGCAAACAAAATCTGCCCACCATGGAACCTGATTGTAACTTATCCTACTAAAACACACACAAACTCTCTTCCCATCTCTCTGCCTATTCTTTTTTGTTTTTGAGCCATTCTTTGGTTTCCAGCTAATCTCTCTCTCACAGCTGTAGCCTCCATTTCACTCAGAGAAAGCTTCTCCAACTCTTGAAAGCAATGCCACTTTCCACTCCTTTCCTTTCACACATTTCATACAATGAAGGAATAAAAACTCCCTGTCACTCTGCTTATCAACTCCCAAATGACTTCCAGTGGCATAGCTCAGAACCGAGGCAGGCTGTTCCTGCCTCTGTGGCCCGATCGTTGGACAAGACTTCATCTGCCGGGACTTAAATGTCGTACTCGTTTGTCACCGGTCAAGGCACTGCGACCAAGGGATTTAGGCTTTTGGAAAGTACAGGCCCTACTCTGCAGGAGGAGGTCTGGAGTTGTGGAGTGACAAAGAGGCAGCTGCAGAGTGACTGATTCTTGAGTACCAAGAGATGGACTGAGCTGCAGGTGAATAATTCAGGTTCCTGGTGAACAATTTTTAACAAAAGCCTTTTTTTTATAATGCAACTACTGAAGAAAGGAGATGCCCCCGAGAAAATTTTGAATAAAGTAGATGCCATTTCCTACATTCTGGTGTATTTTAATGGTTGTTTAACATCTAGTTTTACCTACATAAGTAAACACTTGGAACGCCTTGGGATTCCCCTGGAGGAGCTGGTCCAAGTGTCTGGGGAGAGGGAAGTCTGGGCCTCCCTACTTAGGCTGCTACCCCCGTGGATGGATGGAAGTAAACACTTGATTCAGTAACTATTTTAGAGTTAATGGCACAACAAGAAGTAGCCTGACCACCAGCTGATTCAATGAATTAAAAATATATATTCAAAGGTGACGATTTGATGCCCACATTAAAACTAAATGACTGTAACTTAGTTGACTTCAAATGTAATAAGATTATCAATGAATGTTTGCGACAAAGGATTTACTGATTATAACAAAGATTCCTTCAAGAAACCTCCCAGTATAAATCATAAACCAGAATGATTTCTGCTCATTCTAAATTTGTCAAATGGTCTAAATCTCCTAAAGTGAAGGAGAATCTTTTTAAAATAATAAATAAGATATATCCTGTAGCCATGTTTCTGCAAAGAAGATTTAAATTTCATGTTGATTGGTGTGTCTTTTGTAAATCAGAAGATGAATCCCTAGAGCAATTTTTTTTCATGTCAATACAAAGTGTTTGGTCAGACATCAGAAACTGGATTAATCTCAAACTTAACATTCCTTCTTTTCATGCTGATGCCATTTTACTTTATGTGGATAACTTAAGTTCAGCTTTCTCTGATGCCATAAATACAGTCGTACTTATAGCAAAGTACCACATTCACTGCAGTAAGAGGAGAGATAATAAGCCCTTCTTCCTGTTTGATGAACGATTTTGTCATACTATTCTTCATTAAGTAAACAAAAAAGCTGCAAAACTGCTAAAATCA